CAGAGGGGAAAACCGATCACAGGAAGCCCTTGATGGGTTTTTCTCCCAGCTGTACAGAGCCCCGCCCACCCCCGCCCCCCATGGATGTTCTTGGTTATGGGTGCTGTGAGCAAACCCTCCACTCTTTAAATTGTCCTTGTACAGGAGGGTCTGGATAGAGCTCAGGCAGGGGCTGGACGAGACACTAGAGCAGGGGCGGGCAGTTATTTTAGGTGGAGGGCTGCTTACTGAGTTTTGGCAAGCCATCGAGGGCCACATGACAGGTAGCCAGGGGCAGATAAATATTAATTTTTTTAATTTTTTAGGGGCCCCGTGGGCCAGATAGAATGGCCTGGTGGGCTGCATCCAGCCCGTGGGCCGCATTTTGTCCACCCCTGCACTAGAGGACCTCTGGAGGACCCTGCCAGCCCCACTTCTCTGTGATTCTCCCCTCCCTCCCCTGCTTCACCTCAGGACCAGGACTGGGGTCTAGCCATGCCCCTGCTCTTGCTGCTTGTGCAGTGAGGGAGGGGGGAAGCCAGGCAGGCCCCAGCAGGAGACAGGAGAGAGGGGGGATTAAGCCCTGCTTCCTTTCAAGCTACTGGCATCTGGCCATGCCCCCACTCCTTCTGAAGGGAGCACGCCGGGACCAGGGCTTCCCACCCCCACCCCACCCACTTCTCAGCCAGCCAGAGCAGTGATAGTGCCCTGGCTAGGGAGGACAAGAATGGGGCCAACTCTGCTCCACTGGAGCAGACAGCACAGCCCAGCCCAGGACTGCAAAGCATCCTGGGATGCTGGGGGACTGTGATTTAACTTGAATGAGGAAGGGGCCTGGGACAGAAGTTCCATAAACCAGTCTGACCTAAATCAGTTAAGTCTGATACTACATTCAACCATGTTTATCTTAAATCAGTTTTGGTCATTTTGAAAGTGGTTTATGTGCACTGAATTTCTGTTCTGTTACAGCTTTAAAACGGTTTCTGATCACGTAAACTGGTTTATGTGTAACCCAAGTCTAGCCCATAGTATATTATATTTTCTATCTTAGATTCTCATTTCTGGGCCTGTTCATTAGCCATGGCTTGTTGCTGGGCCAACAACCATAGCAAGTGTTCCATTTCCATATTTAATCCTGCTGCTTGATGGCTAGGGATCCAGGTATTCTATTTACTGTGAAAAAAATGCAGATTTTCATCTTCAGTAGAAAAAAACATGGGTTTTATCTTTTAAAGCAGAAAATTATGTATTTTTCCCTTTAAAGGAGAAAACTGCAGGAAACTGCAGGTTTCCCTTGTAGACTGGCAGAGTTCCAGCCTGCAAGAGGCTGCTTGGGGCTGCAGGAAGTGGGAGAAGGATCATCAGGCAGGGGAGTGCTACGTCCATGTGTGCATGCACATGCAAATGGCATCCAGGCAGTGGTGGAGAGTAGCTTCTGCAGCTCCCTCCAGGTAAGTTTACAGTGGTGGGGTGGAGTGGGGAAGGTCACACATTAGGTTGGGGGGGAAAGGGACACAGGCCACTCAGGGGGAGGGGGCACAGGACATGCAGGGGCAGTGGGGGCACAGACCACATGTTCTGGGGCCAGAGGGGCATGTGGCTTCCAAGATTTCTATGCCCACAGTGTGGTGCAGGGCTGCAGCCGGGCCGGACCAATTCCAGAGGAGCCACCTCCAGGGCAGTGGAGTACCAACAGGGGTGGATGTAAGGGGCCATGGCCCCCAGGCGCCGGCCTGGTGGGGAGGCACACCAGCTGAAGATGCCAGGGTGCCTCCCATGTTTTATGTGTGGCCCACCTGCCTGCCCAGCAGGTTGTGGGCTTCTTTTGCTGTTCCAGCTGGAAATTCTGGCCACTGCCCCTCCCTTTGCAGCTGGTGTGCCATGCTGCTAATTCCCCTGCAGAAGTGCCGTGGGGTGGGAGATGGGGCCCTGCACAGGCTGATTTGTCTTGGGACCCGCACCCTGTTCAGATCATCTGGGGGGGGCACAAATGCAGGCATTGGCCCCTGGGCACTGGAGACCCATGGGATGCCACTGCCCAGCATGTAGGACCAGATGCAGGAGGGAGCTCCACCCCACCATGGTCACCAAGGTGAGGCACCCCCTGCCCGCCCAGCAGCAGGGAGGCATAGCTCCATATTGGCATTGCTGTTTGTGTGCCTCACCATGGTGGCACAGCGCTCCCTCCAGTACCAGGTCCCACCCGCTGGGCTGCGGAGATGGCTCCTGCCTGGAACTGGTCCAGCCTGGCTGCAGCCCCATGCCCCACTGTAGAGAGAAATCTTGGGGGGCACGACCCTCCCCCATCCTGTCACCTGTGCCCCCCCCACCTTCCCCACAGCACCCACTCCCTTCCTCACAATGGGGGCCTTGGGGTGGGGGCAGCTGGTTGGGAGTGAAGGGCAGTTCTGGGTGGTAGTGGGTCAAGCATGAGGGGCACTAGCAGGGCCTGGGGGCTGCAGGTTTGGAGTAAGGGGCACCAGAAGGGCCAGGGGGCTGCAGATCATTAGTGAGGGGCACCACCAGGGCTGGGGGGCTGTGGCTTGGGAGTGAGAGGCAACAGAATGGGCAGGGGCAGGGCACAGATATGTCAGGGCTGCTTAGTGCCATAACGCAGTGGTGGGGGGACCTAGACCCATGTCCTGGTGAACAAAGGGGGCTGGGGGAGTTCTGAATTTCCATGAGGAAAAACCAAAAATCAAACACCAAAATTTATAGGTATTAAGAATTTATTTCATTATAGTGATTGAGGTACTGGTAGTCTTCCAAATTGCTTTAAAATTGTAAATATATCAATAAAACACTGTGTCCAACTGATACATACATATATAATGGTGTTTCATTTTAATTGTGGAAAAACACAGAGTTTGGGGGGTTTTAATCAGAGAATTGGCAATTTTTAAACAGAGAAAACCAGGATCCTTGCTGATGGCTCACACTGGCCCAAGGGTTCTTTGTACTGGGTATGGGGAAAATGAGCTGCCTGCTACTAGTTTTCTCTTTCTTTCCAGCCAATGCACCAAATGTAACATGTTTGTTGCTGGGGCAGCGAAGCCACCTTCACTGACCACTGCCTGGGCCCCACTTTGCTGTCCTCTTTGTCCCTTCAGGGTTCCAACCTGTTATCTTTCCTGCCATACCTTGATGTTATAGGTTGATAGGGAGGCTGCCCTAGAGGGTAAATGGAGTCTTGGATGGTAGACCCTTGTCTGGGCTGAGGTCCCCAGGTCTTGTCCCACTTTACTCTGGCTGAGTCCCTCAGCCTGGGATCCTCTGTCCTAGGAATGCAGGCTCCTGGGCCCCAGCTCTGGCCCTGGTGGGCTCTGGACTCCTCAGCCCCTGGCTCCATTCTCATGAGCTCTGGGCTTGCACCCCAGCCTTTGCCATCTTCTGTTTCCTCCCTCTGTCAGGCAGTAACAGTTTTTCTGCAGGGCATGGGATACTGCACCCACTCCCCGCCTCCACCAGTCACAGCCCCAGGAAGGAATCTACACTGAGGGGTCTCTGCTCTAACCTCATGGCCTCCAGTCTGCCCCTTTCAGCCACATGAACAAAAACCAAAAAACATGCACATCTTCTCCAAAACAAAGGGATATCCTCACAGGGTTAACCTTTGCCATCTAGAAGCCTTCCCCCAAAAGGCCTGAGGCACTTTTCTGTTTCTGCTCTGGATGCAAGGTTCCCTTCAACATCCCTGAAGCTCAGAGTCCTTCCCCTGGACCACCAGCCTGGCTCCCCTGGAGCTCTGCCTCCTGCAGCTTCTACAACCAGGCTGCCACCACTTGATCAGGCCTTGTGCTTATAACAAGTCTCTTCCTGGGTCACCTTGATAGGAGTTGCATTAGTGTGGGAGAGGGATAACTAGGCTGAAAAGTTCTGTTCAGGAAGGAAAATGCAAGGAGGCAATGGAGGCAAATTGGGTTCTACCCGGCTATGTTTTGGTGGCCAAACCCACCACTCATAGTAACCTACATATCAGTTCTTTTTTTAAATTATAGACAAGCACCTCCCACTGACAGACAGACATATCAAGAAACAGATTTCATAGAGGCTTGAAGACCAGTACAACTTTTAGTTGTGCTGTCAGGTCTCTGTTCTGTTTGTGCCCTGAGGCCAGAAGTGAGGTTAACTATGTGCTTCATCACTGATTATAGGGTTCAGTATACTGCAGACAGCCCTGCCAAAGACCAAAATCAGCACATTTTTCTTGTGGGAGTACTTTTGAAAGCAGCCATTAAATTCTTATGAACCAAACAACTTCCACCCCAGAATAGACCTATGGTCCACTTAGTTTGCTCTTCTGTCTCCAATATTAGACATTACTACATGATGAAGACAAAGGGAAAAATCCCCCAATTGCAGATAATTGTACATGATTGTGCTGGGCAGGAATAGCAATATTACCTTCTGGAGCCAGAAGATTGACAGGTCTAAGGACACCTCAGCTAGTGTTACTGAAGATATTCAGTCAAGTTCTGCTCTTCTTTATTCAAGTGTAAATCTGGAGTAATCTCACTGATTTCATTGGAGTTATTCCAGATTTGTGCTTGGGTAATTGAGATCAGCTTTTACACCTCTGTTCTTAACTATATACTTATCTAATACTTTCTTGACACAGCTATTTGTTTCAGTAGGGTGGTTGTCTCTCATTCTAAGACCAAACCCTCTGGAATGTCACCTGCAGCAGAATGAGCAATACTTTCTGTTTCATCCTCTTCCCTTGAAGGTGGAGAGGATTAGCACAGGAGTGAATGACAAGTTTGTCACAACCAAATTAAGTAGTGCCCATGTCACAAGCAAGTAAAACCATTCAAAACAGTTTCATTCTGCACTAGGTTAACTAAGGGTTAACAAATAATAGTAACAGGGTTTTTTTGCTGCGCATGTCAAAAAGAAATTTATAACTGCGACACCAACATGAAATAGAACTAAGCCTTCTGTGCTGTACATAAATCATTATAATTGGTCAAAGAAAACAAGGAGTAACCCTGTGATCATACCCTAGCAAAGACCACTAGATAATTGGCGATTCTAATTAAATTTATGACGTGGCGAAAAGCAATTGGCTAGTACACAAACAAAACCCCGCTGCATTTCCGTGAAGTCAGAGAGAGCGACTCCGTATACACCTGGAGACCTCTAACATAGGTGTTAGAGTAAACTGACAATTTGATCACTTGCCAGTTCGCCCCCCCCGCCCCGTCTTCGACCTTATCTCAGACGTAATCGACGACTGCTGGCCCGACCTTCTGCCCGACCACTTTTGCGAACTGACCTACTTTGCAGACCGACCTCATGAACTCTAAGCTGTAACTAACCAAGTATCTCTGACCTCCGTCTTTCACCACCTTGACGGCGTGAGTAAATAATCTTGCTTTGCAACCGATAAGCGTCCGCCTAATTAATTCCACTCCAAGCATCGCAAATACCCGCCTGACGGCCTTCTAAGGCCCCCGGACCGACCCTCTGCCGACCACTGCCCGGGTGGGAGTCAGGGGGAGCTGCTGGCCGGCTGCCCTGGGTCCCGACAAAGTCCACTTGACATTTAGCTATCCTAATTCAGCCCTAGTCATCACAGCTTGCAAACATCCTCCTCACCTTGTTGTTGAAGGGCTCCACTGTGCAGATTATTTACAGCCAGCTGCCCCCAACCACACAGGTCCTGCTTCGTAAATGTTACACAGCTTCCATAAATGCAACACAAGAGCATAGGCATTGCACAGATACCTCAGCCAGCTGGGTAAGAACTGAGTGAAAGGACCTGTGGAATCTTTGACTGTCTATAAACCACTGATAAGAGTTACTGTTCATTCTGAACCTCCCAAAAAACCCAGGTTTCATCTTGACAGCTCTCACAGAAATTAACTTAACTGCTTTATCTTAACAGCACCCTAAAACATGCACAATCCCTGTATGGCAGAACTGATGGATTTTATTAAAGTAAAAGAGAGAAAAATCTTGGAATCTGTAACTCCTGCAACAGTCATGACAAAAAATGCAACCTGAAGCATACTACACATTTACTGAATGTGGCACTTTCCTTCTGCAGATCTTAGGATGCTGTTCAAAAGACAACTCTCTTACCACTTGCTTGAGAATGTTGGAGGAAGAGTTGCACTCTATTTGGCACTGGTGAAGTCTCACCTGGAGTACTGTTTTGGGCCCCACACTTCAAGGGATGTCAATAGTTTGAAAAGAAACCAGCACAGAGCAGCAAAAATGATAAGGGGTGTGAGAAGCAAGACTTATGAGGAAAAGATAAAAGAACTAGGGGTATTTATTCTGGAGAAGAGAAGCCAAGATGGATTTGATAACAGTCTTCAAATAGCGGAAGGACAATTATAGAAATGATGGAGATGGGTTTTTCTCTGTGGCCGTAGGAAACAGGACTTACCAAGGCCCTCAAGCTTCATCAGGAAAAATGTAGATTGGTGATTAGGAGGAATTTTCTGAGTACAAGGGTGGTCAAGCATTGGAACAGGCTACCTAGAGAAACTATGGAATCTCCATCCTTGGAAATTTTCCTGAGCAGGTTAAACAGACACTTGGCTGGGATGGTCTACTCAGGGACCATCCTGCCTTGAGCAGGGAGCTGAACTAGGTGACCTTGTGAGGTCCCTTCCAGCCTTCCTTTCCTATGATCTTATGTGACTCTTTTAACAATGGAACAAATTGTCCCTGATGTTACTCCTTTAACCTTAATGGAGTTTCACAATGGATTCATTTGACCCACTGTTTGTTAAACATTTGGGGTACAGCATTTGAATTACTACCCTGAATTTAAAAAAAAATTATATAATTTTCCTCACATTCCCAGGGCTCACTTGGAATTGTTAAATTTAGCCTGTACCATCATCCAATAAAGTGTGACATCGTGGCTTAAAATGACCAAAAGGTTAGGGTTAGGTGTTTTTTGTTTATTTTGTTTCATTTTTTTAAACATATATGTCAGAAGTCTTCAGAAACAATAACTGTTGGATACTGGATAAACAGGGAGCAATTGTGTGATGGTCAGTCTTTTATATAAAATATTAACTTAATTATTTGTGCAGTTCAGGATGGATGTGTTCAAAGGATGTAAATTTCCCTTCTCTGTTGTAATAGATAGATTTATGTTTCTGCTTCTATAGCCACAAAGGGAAAAGCAGATTAGTGTAAGATATCACATTGCAGAAAATGAGTGTTTGTGATGCAATTACATCAGCAAACAGACAGGACCTTGAGAAGAAGTTATGCCAAGCCTGGCTTCTCACCCAGATGGGTTATGTACTTGCTGAACTACACATGTCCATGCCAATCTGCAGCACAGTCTGCTATTAATCCTCAGGATTTGATTTCCACACCTTACCAAGAAGCTTAAACAAATGCTATCTGTGATTTCAAATACATTTAGGAATGCTTTGCTATTAGGAACACTGGATATATTGTGCAGTATCTTGGGTTTTATGGTGATCAAGTCTGATAAGAAAGGGTACTAACTATTACAGGGCTTTGGGTGGTGAACTAAAGCATGTCCATTAAGAAGTAAAACCCTATTGTAAGGAATTCTTTTAGTCCTAGTTAGTTTTGCTGTCATTTCCTGAAATGGTATGAATTTCCGTTTGGAAATGGCTACAACAATTAATATCCTTGCCAGCCATTTGGCTTAAATAAACAGCTGTATTGATATACAGGGTTGCAAGGCCTCATTCCAGGTGTTTGCACATGTATCAACATGTGCAATTAATGCAACTGAATATACTACAGCTCAATTTGAGCAGGAGTAAACTAATCCCAGCATGACTGTCTACATATACATTTAAGCTCAGTAATTTACTGTGCTGCTGGATACCACTTATATCTGATGGAACTATCTGGCAACACAGTAAATTAGTCTGCTACAGCCTAATTACCGCTCATGTGTGGGCAGTGACATGTTACTGCACAGCAAATTAGGCTGCTGCACAGTAAAGCATTTCATGTAGACACGTCCACTTTCCCCCCATCAAAGTATGTATCTTGTTTGCTGTGTCCTAACCACTCTCAGTTATGTTCTGCAAATAAAAATGGGCTGGCCATACAAGAGGTTAAGGATTTATGATATGAAGGGAATAGCCCACCTTCTTTTTGTCTTGGTTCTTTTCATTCCAAACCCACGTTTCCTGAGCAGCATCTCAGTTTTCACTGTCATTTCCAACAGCTTCTCCTAAGCTATTTTAAGCAAGCCCTTTCTGCCTGCTGTTTATCTTCTTAAAAGAAATTCCTTAAACTGCCCTACCAAACCATGCAGCTTTTGGGAAACTAGAATAAAGCAGAAAATGAAATAACACAAAGGAAGGAAAGGCCCTAATTTGAGGGCAGCTGCCTCCTCCCCTCAGCTATTTAACTCAAGCGCTGCTAGCAGCATAGCCTCAGCAGCATTAAGCTCAGCACAGGCTGTGCAACTTTCTTGAAAAGTTGGGCGAAGCACTTGTTCAGTTGGCCCTTGATGAGCTCCATGTGGCTGTGACTATGCTACCAGTAGTACCTAAGCATGGGTAAATCTAGGAATTCAAAAAAGGGCAGGGGCATGAGGGAGATGCCACCAGGGTCACAGGGCAGGTTTCACCCTTCCCCAGAGCAAATGCATGGCAGCAGCTGCTGGGGGCTTTTTGGAGTACCTGAACCAGGTAGGAATCCCCTCTCCCATTGCTCTTGGCACCCCTTTCCCCCCTGTCCAATGCAGGTATCTTCCCCTCCCTTCCCATTCCCGTTTCCCACTCTAACAGGGGTTGCCAGTATGGGGGAATTCAGTAAACAGGGAGAGAGCAGGGACCAGGCAGCCCATGCAGCCACTCCCTGGAGCCCCCAGCTGGAGTGGGGCAGGAGTGATCCTGGGGCTTCCCCTTCCCCCAGGTCAGCTTGAAACAGCAGTGGCAAGGGAGTCTCTCTCCCTCCTCACCTGGTCCCTCTTTGGTTCCTCTGGGTGTCCTACACCAGCCCAGAGTTCCAGCCATACCTTGGAAATCACAGGGGACACAGGCATCTACAGCCATGGGGAAGTGGAGCCACTGGCATGTGACCTTCACTGTGGAAGTGAGGTGTGACCATGCCACTGCAACCCTCCTGGATTTACTCCTGTACCCAAGCTATATGATTTAAAACTAGGGCATCCTCAGGTATGTCTCCCTCAACTGCAGTTACAGGAGTGAAGGCAGTCTAGAGCCATCATCTTTTACATTGCCTTCTACAGTGCTGCCAAGAAGTAAGCAGGTTCTGCATGCCTTCAAATATGAGTTGACACAATGATTTATAGGGCGCTCGGGCACCTAAAGACAATCTAGGTGAAGTGAGAGTGAATTAAAGTGGTCTCAGCAAGAAGACAGGTACTCTAAGATCAGATGTACCAGAGTTGCTGGTAAGGACCTAGACTATTTTGTATCCAAGAATTTTATCTTGGAACTTTATTTTCTGCTCTTGTCACTTCATCTGTATCATGGTGATTAAGGTCAGAGGTTGGTATCTGCTGACTCCAGTGGTCATTGCTACTTCAGGAGACAAAGTAATTTGACTCCAGTGATAGCTGCAGTGCAGAAGTGCAGATTAATTCATTGCTCTGAAATGCACCAAATGAGTTTCAGGCTGGTGGATGTTCAGGTATGAATGAACAGCAGACAGTATCACTCAGTCTGGAAGAATTAGACTAGGTAGGGATTGATGCCACTGCAGTGGTGTTCCAGCAGCTTTACAATCAGTTGCTAGTACTGTGCTAGAGCATTTGTATGCTGCCTCTGGACCCTTCAAGTACATGTTAAACTACAAGAACCCATAATGTAGCTACCCTTAAAGTCCTGGGTAAGTGCTTACAGGCCGTCTGTCTCAGGTGTTCACTGGCTGACACCCAGCACCACTCCTTAAAATATCTACATTACATTTTTGCTGGTTTAGCATATGTGGAGCAGGTGAGCCAGGCTTCACTGCAGTCCATCCTGACAGTTGGAGGTAGTGGAAGCATGCTGCCTTGATCTCTTGCTTTTCAGTGCAGCTCAGTACTTGAGACATCACAAAAAGTTGGTGGGTATGGCATGGAAAAGAAATACTCAGGGACAGTGCTTCTCTTCAGAAGCTTTAGTTCACAGCTGCAGAAGGCGAGTCCTACCTCTTGAACTGAAGAAGAATCATCTTTCCCTTGGCAGAACTGCCAAAAGCATAGGAAAGAGTTCTGCCACTTGTATTTGTGACAGGACATCCCAAAACAGCACCATGTCTTAGTTAAGTCAGGATCTTCATTTTTTTCCAAACCTGTGATGGTGCCTAGGGACCATGCCAAGTGCAGGACCCAGTTACGCTAGGTAAAATACAAAGAATAGATGGTCCCTACTGAAGAACTTGAAGTTTA